CTATTGTCAATGTCCAAGAAAAATAGTGAGAAATTTCAATTAAGCCACTAATTTTCTAAAATTGACATTTGCACTTGGAAAAGTATTCTGACGAATTTGGTTAGAATAAACCAAGGATTCAAATTTGGTTGCGGTTGCGTCTAGTGAGATGCTAGACTGCCTACGTACCCTTGACGGGATCAAACCGACGTAGTTTCAAAATGATTTGGAAATTAATGGATAAGTGTGGCCCACTAATTGAGAATTTGTATTTGAGAGATTTGAATTTCATCGCATTGAAAATTTGCATGGGTAGATGACCCATGGAAAAAGTTGGATGGTTTTGTACCATTTTTCCTATTGTCAATGTCCAAGAAAAATAGTGAGAAATTTCAATTAAGCCACTAATTTTCTAAAATTGACATTTGCACTTGGAAAAGTATTCTGGTGAATTTGGTTAGAATAAACCAAGGATTCAAATTTGGTTGCGGTTGCGTCTAATGGGATGCTAGACTGCCTACATACCCTTGACGGGATCAAACCGAAGTAGTTCCAATATTTGGAAATTAATGGGTAAGTGTGGCCCAATAATTTTAGAATTGGTGTCTTTGAGATGATTTGAAGATTTTCATAGGTAGATGACCTACAGGAAAAATTAGAAATTAATGGGTAAGTGTAGCCCAATAATTTAGAATTTGTGTCTTTGATATAATTTGGGGATTTTCATAGGTAGATGACCTATGGGAAAAATTGGAAATTAATGGGTAAGTGTGGCCCACTAATTGAGAATTTGTGTTTGAGATATTTGAATTTAATCTCATTGGAATTTTCATGGGTAGATGACCCATGAGAAAAGTTGGAAATTAATGTGTGAGTGTGGCCCATTAATTGAGAATTTCTGTTTGAGAGATTTGAATTTAATCTCAATGAAATTTACATGGGTAGATGACCCATGGGGAAAACTGGATGGTTTTGTACCATTTTTCTTGTTGTCAATGTCCAAGAAAAATAATAAGCAATTTTGATTAACTCACTAATTTTCTAAAATTGACATTTGCACTTGGGTCCAAATATGGCTATGAGGATTTTTTTTTAAATTGATCCATGAACCAATAATAGGAAATCTGGGCTTTTGTAAATTTAATGGGTTATTGTTTGGCCACCCATTAAATATATTGGGCTTTTGTGGAGGGAGGAGAGAATTGAGTATAAAACATAAGTAGTTCCGGCTTGTGGGAAGGACATGTGATTATTGGTCTCACACGTGGCGTTGGTAGTTCCGGCATGTGAGACACTTCCCATACGTGGCGTTGGTAGTTCCGGCGTATGGGAAGAGTTTGTATGTTGCTTGGAATCATCACACATGGCGTTGGTAGTTCCGGTGTGTGATGATGTAGTCTGCGTGCGTAGGACTTAGTATGTGAGCTACACTTGGTGTTGGTATTTCCGGTTGGACCTCTCATCCCTAGACGTAGGATAGTACCTATAAATCCTGCGGGCTAGCCAAACAATCCCCAGGTTGGATTGTTTCCCCGGTACATAAGTAGTGAGGGAAGTTTATGATATTTATATTTTATATATATATATATATATGTGAATATAAAACAATTAGAGTATGTGGTGGGCTGGTGAGAGCAGTATAATTTTGGGAATAAAGTTTGTGGTTTGAGTGATTAATGGTTTTGAATATTATTTATGAAGTATGAAACTGCATTGTCTTGGGCATTATTTTTACACGGTGGGGTTATTATGTTGTTTTAAATGCAAATCTTGGTTTTGTCCACTCACATGTTTTCTGTTTTGCGCCTCCCAGACAGTAGTTGCTCCAGGAAGCTTGCTAGCGGTGTTTGAGGCTGAACCGTTCCATCCGTAGATTAGGATTTGAGTAATTTCTTTCTACTCAACTGTTGTTGTAAACTAAATCTGTTAAATGCTCTGTTATTGCCCATGTTAGGTTTACTTGAGCCTGGAGGCCATTTACTGTTGTATGTTGAAAGCATGCTGATGGTTGAGATTTTTATTATGTAAATTATGCATGTTAAATTTTGTTGGGTTTGTGCATTTTACAGGGGAGACTCTGCCAAAATTTTAGTAGATTGTCTCGGTTTTTAGTAAGTGGGCCCGACATCGGGGTGATGTCGGTAACGATAAGGGATCCGTCCTGATTTCCGAGGAAATTCCGGGGCGGGTCCTGTCAATCTATTTATAGAAGTCTCGGAGGCTAGGGTTTTGTAGAGAATAAAACTCTTATTCGGAAGGAGTTTATTTTTTCCCCAAATTGCAGAGATTGAGTTCATTAGGGATTTGATTGGGATCCAAATCTCTTAATTTGATGATGATTGTCTATCCTTATTATGATAATATCTAAATTAATGATATTATCTTATTAAATAAAGATAATATCCTATAATTAAGATATTATCCCTATTAATTAATTGGCCAAATAAATTGGTTCAATTAATTAATTTAAGGGATATTCTTCTTTTCCACGTGGTGTGCTATAATTGGAGAGAGAGAGAGAGAGAGAGTCGGGAGAGAAGAGAGAAAGAGACTACCGTCTGTCTACGAACTTGTATCAGCGAGCTCTACGTAACATTGCTACTCAAATCCCCAAAATCCTTTTAGAACAAAAAGTGACTAAAGTGCCCCTTCCCAAAGGGCAAAAATGTGATTGCACAATCAAATAATTAAAAACAATTTGTTGGGTCGGGGTGTTAGGGTTTAGGGTTTAGGGTTTAGAGTTTAGAGTTTTATTTTTTCCCCAACCTCAACCACTACTTTTAGCGGTGGGAACGGTCCGTTTTGATTCGGTTTTCCTTCGAATTGCAACCAAAATTAGAACTTACACACGATCATGTTCCATTCGTTTTTTTTATAAAGTTTCAAGAATAATCGAACCAAATCAGACATATGCAATTTCGGTTTGATTTAGCCCAATTTTCGATTTTCAAAGATAAAAATATAAAAGTGTGAAGAAGATAAAAATATAAATTTATGAATAAAAGAGAAATCGGATGTGTAGAAAAATACAATGGATAAAATAAGAGAGAGAGAGAGAGAGAGAGAGAGAGAGAGAAGCTCAACAAGAACGGATATGGTTCATCTAAAAGAAAAAGAAATTGGGGTGGAGTAATTATTTAGTTGGGTATAAATTGGAACTAAGACATTTGTGTATTAATTGGGCTAAAATATCTAGATATTACTTGGAGTTACTTATGTTATTTGAATATTAATTAAGCCTACTAATAACTTTTTAGATATAAATGATTAAGTAAACTTAACATAATCGTTCTGGTTTGGTTTGTACAAGGTTTTTCAAGATAAGAACCAAGACGGAAACCAATCCGAAGCAGATTTTGAGCCTAAGTTGACTTTGTTTGTCAACATAATTTTTTTTATTTATTCGGTTCACTTGTTCAAATTAGCTCGTCAGCTGAATGTGGTAGTTTGCCAACCACATCACACCATGTCTATAAGTCTAACTATAGTTAACCTTTTGTTTTTTATTTTCTTATGACATTATTATGAGAGAGAAAAACATAACTATGCTTTTAATAAAATTTAAAATAAAACATAATTATTATAAATAAATAAATAAATAAATCCGCCACCCACCAAACCAACCTGTTCAGCCACTCTACCCACCCTCACCGGTGGCAACCCCCTTTCCTTCTTGCCGCCGGAAACCCCATTTCCTCTCATTGATGTCATATAGGAACTCCACGACGGTCTCGGCAAAAGGTTGGTCATTGATGACTGCTTCTTGGGATCTTCAAACCCTGGCAGACTCGACGAGCCTCATGGGTTCGGTGATTTTCTGGGTACTCTTTATAGAATCAATTCGGACTCGGAGTTCACGCAGACCTCAATGAATAGTTGAGATTGGTAAAGATTGAGAATGGAGACTTGGGCACGAGATTTGGGGCAAAAGGGTTTTAGGATTTTGGAGATAAAAAATGGAGGTTTTGCAGAGACCCACATGATTGTATTGGACAAAGCCATTGGCTTTTGTTGGGTTTTGCAGAGATTGGGCGAATTGAAATCTCTATAAAATACCTAATTGGTTATTGAGCAAATTCAAATCTCTGCAAAATATCTAATTAGTTGGTGGTTGGTTGAACCTTTATTAAAGCATCAAAATTGAAAATTTCTTTTGGTAATTGGGTCTCTGTGAACCCATTCTGTTGGTGGATGTCTGCTCCATGATCGGGAGGTAATTTTATTGAGGTTACCTAGAGATAGAGGGTAGAGCTGAGCATAAGTTTTAGACTCACCAGAGTTCACACAGAGAGAAAATCATTGAATAAGTATAAAATGAGATGTTTCTGGCGGCGAGGAGAGGGTGTTGTTAGGCCTGGGCACGGTTCGGGTCGGATCAAATTTTGGCCGACCCGCAGGCCCAATCAAAGGAGAGCTCGGATCTCGGGTCGGGTCTAGAGTGAAACCCGAAATTGGGCCGAACCAAAAATGGGCACGGTTCTAGGGTTCTGATCGGGTTTGGGCTTGAGCCCATTTTTACCATTTTCAAAAGTCCAAATCTTATTTATTTTCGGCCCAAAAAAGCCCAAATCATATTTTTTTAGCAAAACAAAGCCCAAATCAGATTTACATTCAGCCAAAACCCTTTTTTTTGTTGTCAAATTGCCAAAACCTATTAAATTCTTATGAGCAAGCCCAAAACCAATTTTTCAAACAGGCCATCCATTAAAGCCCATTTCGTTTTTCCTCACCCAAATCATATAAATTCAACCTTCTATAACCTGTTTTTTTTTAAGTTTCTAAACTGAATCACAATCACAAGCATCATCCAACTATCAAATTAGTTGGTTATTACATCCCATGACAAAAAATACAAGCAAAGCACCAAATTATATTTTACATCCCATGACAAAAAATACAAGTAAAGCAGCAAATTATATTTTACAACCCATGACAAAAAAATACAAATAAAGGAGCTGCAGGTTTGAACAAATGATACTAATGGCATATTATCACTTACCAAACATATTCACGTGTATAAGGGAGCTGCAAAAAAATACACTTGTATCAGTTAAAAATCACTCACCAGATCATAATCCAACTCAATAGTTAATTTCACCAAAAAAAGAAAGTGTTTGCAGTTTCTGTCTCAAATCATTTAAACAGATCAAAACACGTTATAGCACAAATCAGTTATCATTCAAAACATCTTATGACTGGACATAACAACAAATAAACAGAGCGTTCACTTTGTTATTTACTGTACCCTAATCACAAACTAAACATTTAGTGATTAGAAAAGTGAAAGCATTGATTGAAAGACAAGCTTTATTACAAGTTAAAATGAATCACAGACTAAACATTTTCTGTCCATTCACATGACAGCAATAACAATTCCAGGCCCTGCAACTTAATAACAAAACGCTAAAAGGTACAAAGAAACAGATGAACTAGAATTTCTGAACAAAATAAAAGCAAAAAGGTAAAAATGCAACCACTGATACATATTTAATGCAAACAGATCAGTAACTCTAATTATATTAATATTGAAGATAGAAGAACACTTCCCAGCAACCAAACAAATAAAAATTCATGGCCAAAAAGAAAGAATCTGGAACCCAAGCAAACAAAGAAAAACTCAACCGAAGGATTAGCCACATATTAAAAACACCCTAACTGAAAAGCTTTAGCCACATAGTTTAGAGAATGATTATGGTTCCTCTTCTTCATCATCCTCCATCTACATGAACATTACCCATGAACTCAAGTCAGATTAAACCACACGAGAGAAATTATCAAAGAACTAAACCCTTAATAAACCTTAACCCAAAAGAATAAACATGAACCATATCATATGAATTAAACCAAAAATGACAACAACAAAAAATTCAAATAAAATTAAAAGCCTGATTTTGATCAAAGTTGATACCAGAAACAGAAAAGAATCACATAACCCATTACAGATTAAGCCAAAAAAAAAAATCACAGGAATTAAAAACTAAGCCAAACCCATCTCAATTCAAAAGCGTCTCTACAAACCCAGAAAAGAGAAAATTTCATATAGCTCATCATGTCAGATTGGCAAAGAAAAAAAAAACATAAAATGGCAAAAATAAGCAAGACCCTTTTATGGTGATTCAAAATGAAACGAGAACTTACAATTATTTAAGGGAGCGTTTCTCGAAGGCACTGAATCAGTAAAGGATTAAAAACACAGAAATTAAACTTTATAACAAGAAATCAGATATCAGAAATCAAACTAAATAATCAGAAACAAAGTCAAGGCTAGCAGCAGAAATCAACATATTAAACACACTCAAAACAAAACAAAAATAAGGTTAGCAACAAATATTTACCTCCATTGAAGCCAAAATTTCAAAACCTTCCATAGATTAACACAGTTCCACCATCGACATGAGAGGGAGAGAGACGAGGCGAGACGAGAGAGAGAGGTCGATGACGGTGAGGGTGAGGGTGAGGTCGGGAGAGAGACGATAGAGGTAGAGGGTGAGAGAGAGGCGGCGACTGAAACTGAGAGTGAGAGGGAGGTCGATTGAATTTGAGAGAAAGGTGAAGGCGCTGGGTTTAGTTGTGGTTGTGATCTAGTGCGAGCATCCTCAAGGTAAACTCTTCTTTTACCCAATAAACAGAGGCCACGTGGTATATTTATATATTATTAATTAATGCTCGGTTCGGGTCAGGTTCACCGGTTCCAAATTTTTTTGAACCGAAGACCAAACCGTTGACTTCGGTTCGGGTCAGGTCCAGTGTTGACTTTTTCGATTTGGTCAAAAAAACCTCATTTTTCGGTTCGATTTGGTTTGGTTTGGTCGGTTCATTCGGTTTATTGGTTTTTATGCCCACCCCTAGGTGTTGTCGCTGGTGGGGGGAGGCTGGGTGTTGTTGGGTTTTTGTTTTTGTTTTTTTAAATAATTAGTTTAAAATTTTTAATTTTATTAAAAGAACTATTAAGTTTTTCTCTTTCATAATAATGTTATAAAAAAAAAATAAAAAAACAAAAGATTAACTATAGTTAGACTTATAGACATGTGTCAAGTTTTTAAGAGGGTGGTGAGGCTACACTTTTGATTAAAGTGGTGAGCAAAAATGCTCCCTTCATAATAATGTTATTAAAAAAAACAAAAACAAAAAACAAAAGGTTAACTATAGTTAGACTTATAGACGTGTCAAGTTTTTAAGAGAGTGGTGAGGCTACACCTTTGGTTAAAATGGTGAGCAAATATGCTCCAAATCATATTTTTGGATTGAGAAGTCCAATCCATCTTCTATTAATTACACCAAATTTGGATCAAAATTCAATTGAATGACAAGTCTACACACTACCCAAGGTGTCATGTGTCATTGGGATTCGAACCTGAAATCACTTATGCTGAAGTTAAGGCCATTTTCCACTGGACTACCTTCAAATCTAATAGTGTATCCGATTTTGACTCCACAAATCGACTTTATGGGGAAAAACCATGTCAACTTCCATGGTTTCTTCACTTAAGGCCATTTCTCGGCCTTGTTTGACCATGTTTTGTTTGTTTTCTTCATCAAAATATTCATGGGGCAACTTGAGCTCTTGTCAATTTTTTTATCGGCTTGAAATTTTCTTCATCCTTTTCCTTTTGGCCAATGAAATTCTCCCTATTAGGTGAAGAATGAGGTGGCTAATTTTCGGATAGCCGCCAAGACAACTTCTTCATGCTTGATCAAGGCCAGGTTAGTGTTAATTTTTCTCTTCGTTTAATAAGCCTAAGACAATTGCAATTGCATGGGTTATGAGTGGTATAGTTGCTCTCGGATACAACCTTCTGTATATACTTTTCTATCAAAGCTAGGGAAGCCCGCGCCACCTTAGCACTATATATCACAAGACTAGTCACTAATGAGGCTCCTCTTGTAATCACTTATAAAGTCCAGATCGACCCTGTAATTTACCAATGTGAGACTCAACACATACCAACAGAACTTGGGTTGTTACATTCTCTTCCACTTAAATGCTTGACGTCATCATCAGGGCCCACAGTCAGATCCACACCTGTGCCCTCGAGTCCACATTTTATCATTTTTCGTGACACATGGAAGCGCAAGTCACCGCGCTGCTATAACCCAGAAGGACTAATTACCACTGATGAGTCTTTAATCACTTAAGCACACATCGACCCAATATTTTACCGATGTAGGACTCAACACACACTAGCAAACACACGGAGTATTACACTTTAAAAAGGCTTTGCACATCTCAAGTAGAACATCATTTTTGCTTGAATTTTGCTCATATTCATAGCCAAAATTCGGCTTATGGTCGGTTATTTTTGCTACTTGAATAATTATTTACATTATATTAAAATAAATTTCTTGTAGCCATATCTATTATTATTATTATTGTCGTTGTCGTCGTTATTATTATTATTATCCGAACAATAGTCATAGTTTGGCCAACAAACATTGCCGTCCTCATTTATATTTTGAATTATAGTCATCGTGACCATATTGATTCAAATTGTGAAAATCTCTTGGATTGTGCACTAGATGTCTCACCATATTTTCTCCCAAAAAGCAGAACCGAACCAGTGTTTAGACCAGTTTCAACTTTCCAAATTTTTTTCCCAACTGTGTAATTGATACCTAATATAGCATTCTAACAACAGCTAGAGTATTTAGCAAAAGAACATACATCATTTTCTGTTAATTAATTGGTGCAACTACCCTTAATTTTCTGACAATTAACTGGTCTAAAGATCTCTTTAACCTTTTTGACGTTTGAAAAACATTACCAATGATGTGCATGGCCTACACATCCGTGAGTCACGCTGATCAAATTTCTCACTTTTTATCCCTTGTTTCCACTTTCCACCACCCCCAACCTCTCCACAACAGTGAAAAAGAAAGAGAAACAGTAATGGCAATGAGTAGAACGAACATTGCATGCATATGGTCCACCACACCGCAAGTCATGCCTTGACACAACAATTTCATCCTAAGGCCATTGCAGCTTACAAAATGCTTCTTCTTTGGGAACCTTAGTTTCACTACTCCAATTCAGCTCTCTCCTTTGGCTTCAATGACGAAAACAAAGCCTCAACTCATCTTCCTCTTTAGCATCTTCATTGTCTTTCTGTGCTTCTCTCTTGGGAAGTCATCAGATTTTGAGCTGGAGGATGACTCTTGGCTTAATGATGAAGATGACGAAGTTAACATGGTTCAGAGCCAACAAAATTCAAGGAGCAGATGTGATTTTTCGGTTGGCAAGTGGGTTTACGATCAATCGTATCCTCTCTATGACTCTAATTGTCCATATCTGAGCACTGCAGTGACTTGTCAGAAAAATGGAAGGCCGGATTCCGACTACGAAAAGTGGAGGTGGAAGCCAAACAGCTGCTCCATTCCTAGGTACTCTTCAATTTAAACTTGGAGCTGTTTTCCTTTTTTATTTTTTCTTTTTTTGACAAAGCAATCATTTAAACTACTCTAATCGGGTACAAGGAGCCACCACACCATCTTGACCAACTGGCCTAATCCACGTATATGCTAGAGCTGTTCATTTTACATTACAAGATATGATCCTTCTGTGAAATGGATGCTATGCAAAAGGTTTTGGTAGTTATTTCTTTATTTTTTTGATATACAGGTTTGATGCATTGAAATTTCTTGGAAAAATGAGAAGGAAAAGGATAATGCTGGTGGGTGATTCTATAATGAGGAATCAGTGGGAGTCTCTAGTGTGCTTGGTACAAGGAGTTGTTCCAACTGGTCGAAAGAGAGTGACCTACAATGGTCCTTCCATGGCATTCCATGCAATGGTACGATTTTTTTTTTTTTTTAATCCAGGATTAAATTCGATCCCTGTTCTTAAATTGACATAAGTAGTAAATGTTCTCATATACAGGACTTTGAGACATCAATTGAGTTTTCATGGGCTCCACTCCTAGTAGAATTGAACAAAGGAGCTGAAAAGAAGAGAATTTTGCATTTGGACTTGATAGAAGAGAATGCAAAGTATTGGAGAGGAGTTGATGTTCTTGTGTTTGATTCTGCTCACTGGTGGACTCATTCTGATCAATCGAGTTCGTAAGAGAAAATTCACATTGACCTTTCATCATTTCCTTTGTTTCCAGAAGTGGTAGTATTGTGGATGTCCTTGTGATCATAATGGAGAGTTATTCTAACTACTTTCAGGTGGGATTATTACATGGAGGGACACTCTCTCTATACAAATATGAACCCAATGGTTGCATACCAAAAAGGACTCACTACATGGGCTAAATGGGTTGATTTAAACCTAGACCCTCGTAAAACCCGAGTAATTTTTCGAAGCATGTCACCTAGGCATAACAGGTAAGATACAATCTCCAATGCATTATGAAATTCTAACTCTGACCATTTCTCTATACTTCAATGTTTTTCTTTCTGTTGGGCAGAGAGAATGGTTGGAGATGCTATAATCAGAAGCAGCCTCTAGCTTATTTCAGTCACCAACATGTTCCTGAACCATTGCTAGTATTGCAAGGTGTATTGAGAAAGATGAGATTTCCAGTATATCTTCAGGACATAACTACAATGTCAGCTTTTCGAAGAGACGGGCACCCTTCTGTGTACAGAAGGGCAATGGGCCAGGAAGAGAGGCAGCACCCGAGGGACTTTTCCTCTGACTGCAGCCACTGGTGCCTACCTGGGGTGCCTGATAGTTGGAATGAGATTCTGAGTGCCTTGCTCTGAGTATGACTTTAATATGAACTTCTAGGTAAAGTTCGTCAGAGTAACTCTTTTTTTTTTTTTTTCCCTGCATATTGAAGTTTGTAATGATAAGTCATGATGCTATGTGGTGATGTTCTGCTGCAACAATGTGAGATGGTGATATTATGTGAGGTAGCAAAGTCTCTTTGCACTCATCTATGTGTCTCACGTTGCAGTCTTTGCTTCTTAAATTACTTATCAGCGAAGATGCTATTAAGCTTTTTTTAGCTTCAGCATTCAAAATATGACTCCTTGGGGCAGGTAAGCATGCTGGCTGGCTATAATTATAAAGGTTGAGGAACCACAGTTTGTAGAAAAAGCAAAAGACATGATCTTCACTCTTAGCCATGAGTGCATGACCTTCTTGAATGATGATGTCTGGTAATAGTTAGCACTTCTTTCCATTGTCTTTGCAGTAAGAGATAATACCACAGAAGGTAGAAGCTCAAGAAAATGGACAAAGATAAGCTGAAATGAAACCTCATTTTCTGACAACACTAGCTAGAGCATTCACTAATTAGCACAGCAATAGGAAATACAATGAAGCTTGTTTGAGCAGTGAACTTTTACAATGCTACTCAGCTTTGTGAATTTTAGATGCTGATTGCATACTCCCAGGTATGGAAATTAGGAAAAATTGAAAAACCATGCAAAACTCAAGAACAGGCAGACTGTTTGAATTTAATGTTATGATCAAGTTGTTCAAATTTTCATTGAGTAATTTAAATTAAAATGTACCTCTCTTTTTTTTTATTATTATCTAAATATAAGGTAAAATGGCTAGAACTTAAAAAATTTTGTAACCGC